TATTGTAGGGAAGTCCCTGTGTCACAGGATCAGTCTGTGTTGCCTTTCCCACTACCCTCCTGCTGTCTACAGTGTTCCAAAGCCCCTCAGAGGGGCCTGTCTCCCTGTGTTGTGGAAAACATGGCCCATGCTTAGGTAGGGAGTTCCTCTAGGTACCAGCTTACTGAATTTAAGCTGTACGTAATTCTGCTCCTTGCCATCAGTAAACTGATGTTTAAAAAGGCTTCGCATTGGGATTTTGTTGCCATTTGAGCTGTTTTACATGAAAGCCTGTGATTACAGAATGGTAATGTTTTGACACAGTGATAAAAGCCAGGAAATTCACCATCACTGATGGTGTTTCTCTTGTGTTCACTGGATGACAGTTCTTGTGTAGGCACTAATTGAGTAGGAATGACAATAACAATTTCCTTATAACCTTCTGCTTCAGTACACATTTTAGCATTCCTTCAAGGAAAAACATCCATTAAGAGCAAATATTTGTATGTGAGTGATATGCATTAAAAATTCATACAGCTTGGAGAATCTGTTGCAAATATCAACAGCAATATAGCTAAGACTGGGATTTTTTATTTCCTTTGCAGGTTTTGCAGTAAAAACAGAATTGTGAGTCCCTTTTCTCTTCTTCCCTAGTTTCATGCTTTCTCTGTTACAATAATTAGTAAGAATGCTGAAGTTTAGATAGTGTTCTTTACACGATTACTATCAATTGGTTGATTAGGCTGTTTTGGCATTGAATTTTTCCCCAAAAAGCCATTGAGTTTTTGTCTATGGCTCATTACTGTTTGTGGTTAGCTAGGTGGGAAAAGAAATGGAAAATGCCGATTTATGTTTCATGAATGACAGCTCCCTATTTTTGTTTGCTCCATATTTGTGGTTTAAAGCCTAGTTTATTAATTAATAAGTAGAATTCCTTGCATCTTTGATCATTGATACTATCACACAGAATACTGAATATTTAAAAGTAGCACATGTGCTCTATCACAAGTCAAAGAATCACTTTAAAAGAACTATTCTCAGTGAATAAATATAAAAGATGCTCCCTTTCCTGTCTGGAGTGAAGTGATAGGTTTAACAGTGATTTGGATTGATCAAATACAGGACAGACTATGAAATGTCTTCTAAATTATCTGCTGAACAAATTCAAACAAAATTATTTTTAAAAATTATCCATGTTAATAGCTAGACCAGGAAAGGAATAACCTGGTTTTCTCAAGTCCTGGACTTCTCAGAAATTTTATGGATTTCAGTACCTCTTAAAATCAAGTTATTTCATTAACACAACCAGTTTTGACCTGCAACTGGGGGTAAATAAACAAACAAAATTTTTAAAAAATCAGCTCCAGCCTTCAACACCACACAGTGCCAGCTCCTTCTAGTTTATTGGTGGTTTCTGAGGATCTGCTTAATACGAAAACTGTTCGTGTAGGTATTGATTTCCCAGCCTGTCAGCATCAGCATTTTTTCCCAGTTCATGCATAGGAGGTGAATTTAAAGAGGAGTCTGTGTTTGGGATATGGGACAGCAGGTATTACCTCCACAAAGCATTCTTTTCCTGTTCTCCTGAGTGGATTCAGAGGAGCCCTGAGAGCGGAGGCGATGCCGCGGGTGCCCACGGCCACGGCCGGGCAGGGGGCTCGGGGGCTCTGTGACCCCGGGCAGCTCACGGGGACAGCGGCTGCCGGGGGGGCTGCAGGGACCCCTGCCCCGAGTGCCTCTCAGGGGCTGCCGCAGCTCTGCTCACCAGCTCCAGCTGCTGCCAGCAGAGCTGTGCTGAGGCTTGTTTGCCAATGAGCAATAACTCCATGAGCAATAACTCCCATAACTCGGCCCACCTGTTTGTAGTTTATTTGCAGCTGTTTCCATTAAACCTGAGAGATATATTCCAGCTTAATAAGTAGCTGAGCTGTGGTGTGTCTTGATGTGTGTTCTGGGGGTATATGTACTCCTCTGCTAAATGCTAGCTAGTATTGCTAATACAGTTAGTCTTACTTTTGAGATTCATTCATTATGCAGCATTTCTGCTTGGGAAAAATGCGTTTGAGTGAAACAGGGCTCCTTGTGAGGAGAGATGCTGTTAGGTGAGCACTTGAGCTGACTGCTGGTGCAAGGAGGACTGGATACCTTGATAGAATGCCCACTGCCCTGAATGGCTTAGAGGATAACTGAGATGCAGTAGAGCTGTTTTAGATATGCTTGTCTTGTTTGTTTGGGGTTTTTTTTTTCAAATAAGACCATTTATTTAGTAATCTGTTTATCCAGATGTCTTCAAGCTAAAGATTTTAATGCATGAGTTTCCAACCTTTTAGTTTTTTGAAGAATATTGAGTGCTTCTTTTTTTTTGTAAATTACCTTTTCTATATTGATTATTTAGTTGTAAATAGACTTGCTAATTGTTTTAGTCTAGCAAAATTTTGGGTTGCATACTAGGGAGCTTGTGTAGCTGCACAGGTGGATCAGGCTTGCAGAGAGCAGGAGTTCTCTGGAGCTGAATTAAATGCATTGCTTAGTTTTGGTTCCCTACAAGACTTCAATCTGGTATGAAATCCTGGTGGCCAGTGGACATTACTTTAGAATAAAGATTGGTTGTCTAAGTCTGTGGATTTTAGACTTGCGTATTTTAAATACTGAGTTTTTGATTCAAACAATTCTCGAGGGAACCAAGAGGGCTTTAAATGACCAGCTTGTAAATGTATCAACAGTAAGAAATCTGTGTTTCTGTTGTTTTAGTGGAGGCAGTTGCGCTGCGACAAGGATTTGGATGTAGTTTATGAGCTGCTGTCCTGGGAGATAGGAGGAGAGGAGCAGAGCTTGGCCGAGGCTCTGGAAGTAACAGATTTTAGGAGAGGCTGGGATTTCCAGTTGTATTTCACTATCTTGCAGGTTTTTCTTTTTCCCAATATATGAAAATGCAGATTGAAAGGGGGCAATCAGGTTCAAGAAATCAGAACTGGTTCAAGGCTTCTTATTACTGTGGATAAAACTGAATTTTGCCAGTGTGAGACTACTGTGTTTAGTAAATTGAATTTTGTGGAGCCAGTGTGCATTTGGTGGAGGAAGAAACATTCAGGCTTGTTTTTTTCTCTACTTATTCTTCCCTTGCAAAGTCCAGCAGCGAAGGTGTTACTTGCATCCTAACAAAAGCAAAAACTAATATAAAGCAAATGCCCGTAAGTCTCTGCTCAAGATATGCTCTTTCTACCCTTTTTTTCCTCCAAAGCAGGCCTGTTAGTGGCTGAGGAGGGATGAAGAAATGAGACTGAGGCCAAGAACAGATGTGGGGAGGTGAGGGACAGAACTGGCAGAAGCACCATAGAGCATATCACATCTGCCTCTACCACCTATTTATCTGCAGAGAAGGGACAGGCAGGGAGCAGGAATGGCTCATGCAGCTGGGGTAGACTCCTGAGTCTGTCTGAGTGTCCTGCCCAGCCCCAGGCACAAGGACAGAGCAGGGATGGCAGCTTCAGCTCTGAGATCTGATGGTGGCTGTTGGTGTAGCAGGAAGCTGCAGGAGGCAGGATGCCTTCGTCCTGGGTAACCCTCCCCAGATTCCCTTTTTTTCCCCTGCTAGCAGGGACTGCTGCTCATCCCATGACTGCCTTTACTTCTGAATACTCCTTGAGAAGCTGTCACAATTTCACCTGTGAAAAAAGACCAAATCTCCCATTTGTGTGTGACTTGTGCAATGATTCCCAAAGCAGACATTTCAACATCTGCAATTTCTCCTCCTCTTGGAAAAATATTTTTTCCTTGTTCAGAGCTACTTTGTTCATTAGCAACACTTGACCACTACTAAAAATGACATGTGGCAGCTCCTTCAAAGATAGTTTAGGACACAAAATAAAAATCTGTATCTTACAGAGATGCGTTACGGTAATTTGAATGGGTAAAAAGTAGTTAAACACTTGGAACACCACCAGGATACGAGTTATATCAGGTTTTCACCTGTGGAAAATATAGCCTCTTTGGATGTGAGAAGTTTAGCGATACCTTAGTTTTCTGCTGCAATAGAAGATAATTTCTTATTTTTCTACTTGATTAATGGGGTGAATTGACTCTTCAAGGGACCTGATGCCATGCAGGGGGCAGGAATGTGGGGACTGCAGGTGAGAAGAGGGGAAAGAGGCAGTGTTCTGGCAACAGTTGTTAGTGAATCTGTGAGTCCCTCAGTGGCTTAGAAGTGGGATTTATTCAAATCCACGGCGTGAGATGTAGATAGAAGTGTCTGTGCTTGCAATGAAAAGCCTTTTTGGTTTTCTATAGCACTGGGATAGAGAGAGGTGGACCTACCTCTGAGTCTTCATCAATGGCTCATTTGTCAAAGAGTAAGGGAAAAAGTGAGTAATGAAAGTTTATGGAGCATATTTTCTTCTCAACATGCTATTAGCATTAATGGGAAGTACACTCATGAATGAAGGGAATGTGCCCCCTTGTGCACTTAATGATTGAGCTCCCGAGTCCCTGCTGAGTCTCACACACTTTATGTGCTCTCTGAAATGTTTCTACACTGTAATTTAAAAAGGGGTAAATTATATTGCTGACCTTAGTTAATTGCTGTTGGGGAAGCGATGTTAAAGCCAAGAGCAGACTGTATCAAAACAACCTGGCATCGATCTTCCACTTCCTCAAAGCAGTGCTACAGAATATTCTCATGTTATTAAAATATAGTCATTCAGGATGCAACATTTGGAAAGCAGATAATGTTTGGTCAGATCACTGAATCTGGCTTTGGTGACACTTGTTTTTTTGGGAAGGCATAATAGTTTGTCGCTGCTATAAAGTTTTAGCAGGAGCAGAATACAAACTCTTCTGCAGTTGTTTTTTCTGTACTGAGCAAGGCTTTTTTCCTTTGAAAATTAAATGAAATGAGCAAAGCAGAAGTGAGGGTAGGGAGCATGGAAAATTATGATGTTGTGTACATAGTTCTTTTTCTTGTTTTTTAATTTGGGAAAACTGTAGACCTTAAATATATGTTAGTCCTCTTTTGGTCTCACTAGAGAATTGTGGAAGAGGAAGAATTGAGGAAGATGGAATGCAGTGCAGGTCTATGCGGATTTCCAAGCTCTGTCCCATTCCCTAAGGGACTTTTTTCTGTGACTCCACATACATGCAGAGTGCATGTCATTGCACACAGAACTGTTTGCTTTTTTGCTTCCAGGGCACAAAGCCAAACCTCTCATTAAAAAAGGAGCCACATCACTTGCACCCTTCTCAGGCAGTGTGCAAGGACTCCAGTTGATGTTCCCAGCCCTCACAGGTACTGAATGGCTCTGCTGTTGTAATGCAGTGTTCCCAGAGGGAATTAGTGATGACATATAATGACCATTGAGATAAATGTAGCTGATGTTTAATTTTTCTAGAAGTGACAGTTGCTTCTTGTGCAAGCACAAGCTCTTTTTCTCCCTTGGAGCACAGAGGAAGAGCGTTGCTGTTCTAGCTCTTGGCAGCCACAGGGGCTGTGTGAGGGGAGAGCTGTGCGAGCCTGATGCTCATGTGGAGGCAAGTGTGTTGGCATGTCTGCCACACAGCACAGGGCTCATGGCACAGAGGTAATAAAACTCCTCTGGGATGTTGATGGAGAGAAGATGGAATAAATATTCTTGAGAGGCCAAGGAGCTTTGTAAACACCCAAACACATGTCTGTGTGTTCGCAGAGAGAGATATGTAGATAACTGGCAGAAATACCATGTAATGGTAGGTGACCTGTCTGATATGGAAAGTTAATGTATGGATAAGAACAGAAAAGGGGTGTGATTTCAATGTCCATGCTGTGTGCTGAAGAGGATGTATATATATACACACTTTTTTTTGTTATTTTTTTAAAATGAGATAAGAGTACTTAGAATTGTGGTGAACCCCAGATGCACTGAAGTTCATAAATTCTGGTAGAACTTTCATTTTTGCTGGCCTGAGTCACAGAATATTCTGAGTTGGAAGGGACCCACAAGGATCATCGAGTCTAACTCTTAACTGAATGGCTCATACAGGGATCAAACTCACAAGCTTGGAATTATTAGCAACAGGCTCCAACCAAGTGAGCTAATCTCAGGTCATGAGATAAAATGTTCATTTATCTTCTTAGAAGACTTCAGTGCCCTAAAGAGAGTGGTGTTATTTTGGGATATGAGAGAGGTTTTAACTTACACTGGAGAGCTAACCTGTGTTCTACCTCAGTTTCATGAACCCTTTCCCAGAAGCATGGCAGAATGGACGTATGTGTTTTCCTCCTTGATGCTCCAAGGGCCAGCTTACGTTTCTGGCCTGGGGTGGGTCAGGCCTGGGCTTGACTTGTGTCCAAAATGCTGTTCTGATGGACACAACCTCAGCATGGGGCTGAATTTTAAAATTTTGGGGGTTTTTTTTGTTTCATTAAGGTTTTGTTCTAGACTCACGTTTTACATGTTTTATTAGAGAAACTTGCAATTTTATTCACTCAACAAGGTGCTTCACTTATTAGAGCCCCTGGGAAGTTTAAACAAAATGCATGGCTAAATGAGAGTATTTGCCACTTCCTGTCTTCAAAGTGCTTTACAATCCAGATAGACCTTTGAGTTGTTTGTATTAAATTATACTTACAAGATCATGAAAATTGAAAGGAATACATGATTTCACTTGTAAGGAAATTAGTTTCTTAATTAACTGTTTAATTAAAACAAAGCAACTAGATTTGCAGAGAACAGCTGATTAAAGAAGATCTCAGTCCATTATCTTTACAGAAAACTAGGTTGCACCAGAGGCAGGAAGAAGAGTTGCAGAAGCTGCTTTCTAAACCAGAAGCCTGCTCTGAGCACAGTACAGGAGGTCAGTTTGTTCTGCTCCCAGAGAATGTAGCAGGAGTTAAAGGCAGGGGAGCAAAGCAGTATGGACTGAGTTATAAACTCAGTCAACATCTCTTGTTATCTCTTGTCAAAGTAAAAACTAATTTGTTTAGGGGAAAAATTGTGTGGTAAAAATATATTTATTTTCTTCACTATTTACTTAATCCTCAGAATCCCTTGCTTTTGTAAAATTAGCTAGGTATTATGTAAGGCTGAGGAATTGGGGTAGAATAAGAGCAAGTCCTTGCTGTTTCCAGGTCTGTTCAAAATCCTTCATTATCCCCCTTCTCTAGCCTGTCCAAACCTTATCATTATTACATTTACTCTCAGGTTAAACCCCAGCTGCAAAGGTAACATAGCTGAAAGACAGAAAAGACTCTTTATTAAGAGTGGCCAAAATGAACTGATTAATTTAGACTAAAATAACAGTGAAGATGGAATGACTTGGATTTTTACTGGGTTTTCCAGTTTAAATGGCTGCTGCTTGGGAATCAGGGAAATCCCTCTGGCATTCTGATTTCTTCTCTGTGCAATGTGCTGAAACAGTTAAAAGCAAACTGTACACATTTTGTTCAGCCCAACAATCTGGAGGTTTAAAAGATAAGAGGTGTTTCTCAGCATGAATGAACTGTGAAATGTCTTTAAGAAGGAAGCTTTTGATGAGAAGTTGCATAAAAAATCCACTCAAATTTCCATTTTGAGGTTTACCACAATGTTTATTCCTGCAGAGAAGTAAGTCTTATCCTCTGAATTTCAGAGGATAAGAACATATTTTTTTAGAGGTATTTTAATGACAATTGACATCTGAACCTTCCCCTAAAACTGTGTAGGGGGAAATCCTCTCCTCTATTCTTAAGTTTTCCTTGCTCAGATATAATAACCTTTGAATATTTTAGGCCAAATGCCCTTCCAGACTTACACAAGGCTTTGGCTCCTAGATGGTTGGTCTGAGCTAAGAAAAACTTTCCTGCAGATGGCATTGCAAACACTGCACAGCCATCACCAAGCACACTTCTTTCTTGGTTCCTCAGAACATGAGAAGTTCTCCTTATTGTCCAGAGATGAGGATAACAGTAGAATCGCCTTTTGAGCCAAGGTGCATATGACACAGACACTGTGTCAGATAGACAGCTCACTACTGCCTAATCTGTTTGCATGAGTTCCTGAAAAGTACTTGTTCTAGTAAGTGTGTGAAATAAGTTACATCAGGAAATGAAGTGAAATTCTGGTAATTTATATGCAAACATAACCAAAACTGGTTTCTTGAAGCACTGACAAAGATTGATAAAGTTCAGCTGACATCAAGGGCACAAAATATAACTTGTCAGGTCTAATACCTTTCACAAGCATTAGTGCCATTTAACTATAATATAAAATGAGATAATTCAGCTTTCACAAACATACAGTAGAACTCTTCTGAATGTGCATATGCATCGTCAGGAATCCTTTAAAAAATAACCATTTGGTGGATTACATTTTGCATCTCTGTGTGTGTGTGCAGAAAAGAATTTGTACTGAACTCGTTACGCTTCTTGCAAGTGCTCAAATGATAGAAGCCAGCACTTCCTCACGACTTCTTGAACTGAAGGCCTATCTCCCTTCTTGCACTAAAGATCTGTCAAGCAGGTTACAGATTTATTCCAGCCCTAGGGTAGCCAGAAAAATGGAGGTACCACTGGGAGGAAGCACTAATCTAACCTATGGAAGGAAAAATCTTTTGCAGAGCTGTGCCCATAACACTCACCATCTGTCTCCACTGGTGAGGAGAATCTTACATCTGCATTTCAGCACGCTTCAATTAAATTTTTGAAAACTATCATTCTCTAATTGATATCAGACCCTTGTGGCAAACAGCTGAAGATAGTGCTGTTTATCTGTGCCAGTGTTCAAGGAACAAAGCCTATAAGGAAAAGGATTACCTTTGTTAGCTTTGGAATAGCTGTGAAATAATTGGGGTAAACTTTGGAAACTCAGAATCTCCTCCATCCCTCATGTCATTCTTCAGGAACAGCACAGCCTGTACAAGTGTGCAAGCTGGCGGGGTGCAGGCTTCTCCCCAGGCTCCCTGGATGGGGACCCTCTGCCTAGTCAGATGCTGAGTGCCACAGTCTCTGCTGTCTCTGTTCACAGCTCCTGCAAGTCCAGAGCACAGGGAGGTGTAACAACACACTGACCTCCTCTCACCTGTGCTCAGCTGAAGCAAGTGTCCAGCAGAACCATGCAGCTCTCTGGGTGCATCCTGGTTTGCAGGGTCAGTGGGCTGTCCTGCACTCAGCCCTACTGCCCCACAGGGCTTTGGGTGCACAGCAGAGACTGGTGCTGTGAGTGCTGCTGGAAATAAGAATTCCTGTGTTAGGTATGCAGGGAAAGTTTTCAAGATAGTGATTTCTCGGGCTTACAGAGTTGGAAAGGGATTAGAGTGTCAGCGAGTGAAATGTTGAGCTGCTCTCAAAATTCTGCTGAACGGATAGATGTGATTGAAGGGAGACTTATGTATTATTTCTGACTGGAGCGGGGGTGGAGGAGCGGGAAGAAGGGGAAATAGATTGGTATTCTTCTGTGGGATTGCTTTTCTTATCTGGGAACCAACAGGTAGCCTGCCCAAGCAGCCTCTGCTTTTAATTTTTGCAGCCCTGGCATGAAGATCAGGTGGGAGGAGAGGAGAACCAGGGGGCAAGCTGGGCTTACTGCTGCTTCCACCCTGAGGGATGGTATGGAGGGCAGCAGAGTCAGTCCTTACGTACTGGGGGAGTACCTTCATCTGCTCCCTTGAGCCCTGCAGGGAAGGAAGCAGCAGTCCCCAGTTGTCTATCTCTGTGGGTGTGCTGGGTTTGGCTGGGATAGAGTTAAGGGCCGTTTGATTTGTGCTGCAAGCAGTGTTGATAACAGAGGGATGCTTTAGAGCCAAAGTCTTTTTTGCTTCTCACCCCAGAAGTGAGCAGGCTGGGGGGGCACAAGGAGTTAGGAGGGGACACAGCCAGGACAGCTGACCCAGACTGACCATAGGGATATTCCAGACCATATGGCATCATGCTCAGCTTTAAAAATTGGGGAGGAGGCTGGTGAGGGACTGCTGCTCAGGAACTGACTGGGCATTGGGCTGAGTAATTGTTTCCATTTGCATCACTTGTCTTGGGGTTTATTTCTCTCTTTTTTTAATTTCCTTCTCATTGCAATTTATATTTTTTTATTATTTTATTTCAACTATTAAACCATTTACCTCAACTCATGAGTTATCTTACATTTACCCTTCCAATATTCTCCCCCACCCCACTGAATGGGAAGTGAGCTGCTGGCTGGAGTTAATCCATGACAGCAGGTAACTGCCAGCTTGATCAATTCCAAACGTAACATTTTTACTTTTGCAATGTGGAGCACCTCTCAAAGCATACTTAAGATAGAGGGAAAGGTGCACCTATAATTTTCTAGTATGGCTTGTAGTTGAGCTGGGAAATGCACTGCACGCATCAATGTTCATTACATATTGTCCAGGATTAGAGCAGAAAATCATACTTGTGGTCTTCACCTGGTAGAAAAACTTCACTCTGGAATACTAATTTCATTGATCACTGTCTACACACTGCTATTCCTAAGGGCTGAATGTGCCTTCAGAGAGCCTGGCTCACTGTTGCTGAGTGTTAGTTGATGGTCATGCCATGGCTGGTCTGTGAGAACTGCTTGTTTCTGTTTGTATGGCAAATAATCAAAAATACCCCATGATGCAGCAATGTAGTTTCAGAAAGGCTGTGAAGGAAAACACAGTTTTCAGTGAAGGAAGAGGGGAAAGAAAGTGACCAAATCCTATCAGTGTTCCCTGCAGTGTAGAGTGTGTCCGAGATTTGCTTTACTGATTTTAGTGAACATGGATTTTATGAAATGGCTTCATCCAAATGAAGGTAGCAAAACCACCTCCCCATATAATGTACCAGATTGCTCACTGGTATAGAAATCTGATGGGGGACACTGCAGGGCAGGAATGACTCAGATAGCAGCTTGGCTGGAGATGCAGTACAGATGTGCTCTTGTGCCTCATCATCATCATCATGGCTGGGCTTCGCAAACGAAGATTTGGGAAGGACTCTACCCACGTCTGTTACAATCGCATTGGTGGCTGAAAAGGCCAATATGAGATAGACACGTCCGGTTGCAAAAGGCACAGCAGAAAG